CAAGCAGGGGGAGTGGGAGAGGGAGAAGCAGGCTTCCCACTGAGCAGGGAGCCCGATGTGGGGCTCGATCCCAGGACCCTGGGATCATGACCTGAACTGAAGACAGACGCTTAACGACTGAGCCACACAGGCACCCCTAAGATATAAATTCTCTAAGAGGGAAAGTCATACCAAACCTGCCCCAAAGAGGGTAAAATTGCTGTATATGCAAATAATCTAGTATCCAGAAAGAATTCTGAACATTGATTGGCCAACGGAGTAGATGCCAAAAATAACAAGGAGCTAATGTTATAAAGTATTTAGCCTCTCTCCCCACAGAATATGTAAATATCCTCTTTTCTTTTAAAAGATTATTTATTTATTTATTTGACAGAGAAGGAGAGAGAGAACAAGCAGGGGGAGCAGCAGACGGAGAGGGAGAAATAGGCTCGCTGCTGTGCAGGGAGCCTGATGGGGGGCTTGATTCCAGGACCCTGGGATCATGACCTGAGCCAAAGGCAGATGCTTAACCAACTGAGCCACCCAGGCACCCCCATAAATATCCTCTTACCTCTAAGGAGTAGAGGAAGATCTTTCTACATAAAGAAAAGTAATATGCTAATATAACTGGTTTTGACTCAGTTTTGTCATGTAACAAAAATAAAATTCAATTTATGCAATTAATAAAAATTTTTTTTTTAATTTTTTAAGAAGTAATGATTCCTTAGCTGACATACTGTTGAAGGATACCATATGAATGGGGTGTGGAGGAATATAAAAACTGACAAAAAATGTTTTGTAAATGCATAGATAATCTTTAAAAATACTTATCTTCCAGTTCAGCATGTGTACGGACCAATATGAGTAGAATACCAATCAACCAAATTGGATACAATCATAAACAGTGTGGCCATCTTGTGTGTAATGACTGAATACTGACCCTCTCTGTAGGATCTAGAGAAAAGCAGAATTACTATCGGTTGTTTTGGTGTGCCTCTCTTTATATTCTCCATATTTCTGATAACAATTTCCTGATTTTCACATCATCTCTGAATAATGAGTTCAGTTTCTTCTTTTCTAATCTCACATCCTTTATTTTCATCTATTACTACATTGACTAGGACCTTAGGTATAGTTGATTTTAAAGGGAATGTTTTATATGATTCAGTATTGTGTATGATATTCATAAATGCCCTTTATCAAGTTATGGAAGTTTCTTCCTAGTTATTAAAAATGCTATAATGGGGGTGTCTGTGTGGCTCAGTTGGTTTAGCATCTGCCTTCGGCTCAGCTCATGATCCCAGGGTCCTGGGATCAAGCCCTGCATGTTGGGCTCCCTGCTCAACGGAAGTCTGCTTCTTCCTCCCCCCTCCCCCTGGCTCCTGCTCTCGCTCTCTCTCTCAAATAAATAAAATCTTTTTTTAAATGCTATAATGAATCGTTGTTGGATTTTTTGAATGATTTTTGCATATACCAAGGTTTCCCCCATTAATGTATTAAATGTGGTGAATTACATTAATAGACTTTCTGAGTCTATTATTACTCCAATAAATCTACCCTGCATTACAGGAAAGAATCTGTGTTTCACTGATTTCCTTTTTCAGTATGATTCACATTTTCCTTTCTTTATACGTCTAATAACTCTGATTGCATTCTGGGCATTTTGACTTTTATGTTGTTAAGACTTTGGATTCTTTTATTCTCTTCTGAAGAATTTGCTTTAGCAAGCAGTTAACTTGACTGAAATCAAACTGTTTACCCAGCAGTGGGCAGCAACGGAAAAAATCAGTTCAGTTGTTTTATCCTCAGTTAGGCTGCTTCAGTTTCTCCTTTGTACTTGCAAAATTCAGGTGTCAGCCAAAGGTCTGGGAATATTCTATAAAGAAATTTTGGAGTGACCCTTTGTGGTCCCGTCATCTTTCTTTTAATTCGAAGAATGCTATAGTTATCTCAAATGATGTGCTCTGACTCTTAACCTGAGATTGCAGGTTTCTATCAGAGTTTTAGCTATCCTATACCTCCAAATTATGCCCTGTCCTTAGGAAAAAAGCAACAGAAATGAAAAACTCACACAGTGCTTTTTCATTTCAAGTGTGAACTCCCTTCCAGTTTCTGCCTACTTTCAGTCATTGTAAAGTACCTTCAAATTTTAAAAAATTTGTCCATAGTTTATAGTTGTTATGTGTGGGAGGATTGGTCTGATAAATTCCTCCAGTTTTACAAGTAGAAGAATACCCATAAAGTTTTGTAGTCTTGGATAGCATAAATGTTGCATATCATCATTACATTTACTCCTTGGTATGTGAGTTTCATTTTCTAAATAAAACCTATTTTTTAATATCAGTTGTATTCACTAACCTTGCAAAATTCACTCATTAATTCTCACAGGTTATCTATAATTATTTTATTTTACTTTATTTTTTAGAAAGAGAGAGAGTGAGATCAGGGAAGAGGGGCAGAGAGAGAGAGGGAGGGAGAGAGAGAATCTTCAGTGGGATCCACACTCAGCGTGGAGCCCAACATGGGGCTCGATCTCATGATCCTGAGATCATGACCTGAGCCAAAATCAAGAGTCAGATGTTCAACCAAATGAGCCATCCAGGCGCCCCATATCTGTAATTATTTTAGATTTTCTGTGTACACAGGGTCATCTGCAAATAATGATAGCTCTACTTCTTCTTTTTCCAATACTTACACCTTTATTATTTTCTTGCCTATTGTGTGGCTAAAACCTTCAGCACAATGTGGAATATAAAAATAGCATCCTTGATTCATCCCCAAATTCAAATGGAAATCTTTAGAGAATCTTATATTTTTAAAAAAAACTTATAGTGAATAGAACAGACTATTTCTTAACTTTTTGTATGAGACCAGCATAATGTTGATACCAAAATCTAAGAATATTATAACAAAGAAAATTACTGGCCAACCTGTCTCATGGATTAATAGAAAACTCCCTTATAAACTATTAACAAACTGGATCTAGAAATTATAGTAAGGGATAATACAACCAAGTTTTGTTATTACAGGAATATAGAATTGGTTTAACATAAAAACAATTAGTGAATATCACCACATTAAAATAAAGCAGAAAAACTGTATGATCATCTCATTAATGAAAAAGAAAAAAGATATTTGTTAAAATTCAACACCTGTGCCTTATTAAAAAAAAAACAAATTAGAAATGAAGGATATATCTGAGTCAGATATATGTATCTACAAAAAAAAATCACTGGCATATAGCTGTTCAGGTATCTTTTTATTGTGGTGAAATATATATAACATTTATCATTATAACTCCTGGTAAGTGTACAATTCAGTAACAATATAGTCACAAAATTGTGTAATTATCACCACTATCTATACTCAAAATGTCTTCATTCTCCTCAATAAAACCTGTGCCCACTAAACTCTCCCTGTTTTCCTGCCAGCAGACCCTGGCAATCTCTAGTCTACTTCTGTCTATATGGATTTGCCAACTGTAAGTACCCCATATAAGTGTAAGTACACAATATTTGTCCTCCTGTGTCTGGTTTATTTCACTTAGCATAATGTTTTCAAGTTCCATTCATGATATGGCATATATAAAAACTGTATTCCTTTTTGTGGCTGAATAATACTCCATTGTATATACATACCACATTTTGTTTATTCATTCATCTATTCATGGACAATTAGATTGTTTACATCGTTTAGTTATTGTGAATAATGCTATGAACATTGGTGTACAAATATCTTTTCAAGTCCTTGATTTAAATTTTCTTGGATATATACCTAAGAGAGGAGTTGCTGGGTCATATGGTAGTTCCATGTTTGACATTTTAAAAAAACCACCAAATTCTTTTCCACAGTAGTGTCACCATTTTACAATCCCACTAGCAATGCACAAGGTTTCTAATTTCTCCACATCCTTGGCAAAACATGTTGTTTTCTGTTGTTTTTCTTTTAGTCACCATCATAATGGATGTGAAGTGGTATCTCATTGCTTTGATTTGCATTTTCCTAATGACTACTAATGTTGAGCATCTCTTCATGTGTTTGTTGACCATTTGTCTATCTTTTTTAGAGGAATGTTTGTTAAAGTTATTTTCTTATCTTTTTGTTGTTATGAGTCCATGTATTTTCTAGATATTAGAGCTTTATTAGGTTTATGATTTTCAAATATCTTCTCCTTTATGTAGGGTTCTTTTCACTTTCTTGATAATGTCCTTTGATAAACAAAAGTTTTTAATATCATAAACTGTATAGCTTATAAGCAAAAAAAAAAAATTATTTCTCTCAGTTCTGCAGCTTGGAACGTCCAAGAGCAAGGTGCCAGCAGATTCAGAATGTCTGTTGAGAATGCACTCTGTGGTTCATAGATGGCACCTCATTCATCACTGTCTCCTCATGTGACGGAAGAAATGCGAGCTCTCTGGGGTGTCCCAAAAGTTTTAATTTTGATGATATCCAATTTATATACATCTTTTACTGTACTTACAGTGTTTTATCTAAGAATCCATTGCCTAATCCAAGGTCATAAAGATTTACCCCTGTTTTCCTCCAAGAGCTTTATGATTTCAGCTCATCACAACACATGCCCTCCTTAATACCCATCACTGGGCTAGCCCATCCCCCCACCTCCCTCCCCTCTAAAACCCTCAGTTTGTTTCTCAGAGTCCATAGTCACTCATGATTCATCTCCCCCTCCGATTCCCCCCCTTCATGTTTCCCTTCCTTCTCCTAATGTCCTACATGCTATTCCTTATGTTCCATAAATAAGTGAAACCATATGATAATTAACTTTCTCTGCTTGACTTATTTCACTTAGCATAATCTCCTCCAGTCCCATCCATGTTGA